AAAAAAAATTATAAAATATCTATGTAAAAATTGTGTTTTAGTAGATCTTAACTATTGTAATTAGTAGGAGTAATATATATAATTGAGGTACTACATAGTCAGTCCAACGAAATACAGCCTTGGTTAACCTTTATCAGCAGCAAAGCAACCCGTCATCCAGTCAAATTAACTACTCCAATCCCGTGTAAAATTTCAATGTACTCTCTAATCGACTGCTAAACAAAAGCACAAAACGGCGTCAGTTTACTTTTTTTTTTTTTTTTTTAAGGATCCTATCCAAGGACTCGTTCTGAGTCGCTTCATCACTCGCTCTTTACCAAGCAAAAAGTTGGAAGCCGATAAAAGCTAAGAACAGCGAAGAAGGCGAGTCAAAGTTGAATATTCAGTTCAGAACTCAGAGCTACACTCCACCAGACTGCAGAGAACCTAGGGTTTTAGCTGCCACTGATCGGGTTCATAGATGGCGACTCCGATCACGCCGAGTACTGCCCGGGCCTTGTCGATTACGCCGGGGTCTAGGGTTTTGAAGAGCCCTTTAAGCGACGATACGATCTGGAAACGACTCAAGGAAGCTGGATTCGATGAGGAGGCAATCAAGAGGAGAGATAAGGCTGCTCTTATTGCGTATATTGCCAAGCTGGAAGCTGAGGTTTGTGTTTAATTTATGAAGCGTTTCCTAGTTATCTTATTATTATTATTATTATTATCATTATTTTTTGTGATTTTGTTTTCTTTTAATTTTGAGCTGAGCCTTTTAGGGTTTGTTAGCAGAAAAGAAAGAATGAATATCGTGAAATTCCAATTATTTACTGAAAACAGAATTTTTTTAGTTGATTTTTAGCTATATATTGCAGAAGAAAAATTGAAGAGTAAAATTGAGATAGAAATTAAGTTCTCTTTATTTGACTGTAACTTTTGTTTTTTCTTGTTTCTCAAATTTTGTTGGTGTCATCGGAAAAGTCTACTGCAGTCCCTGCAGGGCAGAGTGCAAAACAGTGTTCTTTTGTCTTCTTACTTGGATACGATTTTCAGTGTGTAGTTTGGATTTTTAGTTTGTAAAAATATAAATGTAGATGATTTGAGTTGGTCGAATGATTTTCATCCATCATATGTAGAATTTGTGTTTTAATACTTGCAAGTTGCAACGACATAGGGAGTTAATATGAATTTAATAGTTGATGTCAAGCTACAATCTTGGAAATACAGCTGATGTTTGTCTCATGGTATGGATTCACTTCTATGCTGTACTAAAGGATTAATGGAGATTAAAGTTTATTTTCTTCTTCTTTGTCTTTTAGGTCTATGACTACCAGCACCATATGGGACTTCTTTTATTGGAGAAAAAGGAGTTTGATTCCAAATATGAGCAAGTTAAACTTAATTCCTCTGCTGAAGTAGCTGAGATAATGAACAAGCGTGATCAAGCAGCACATTTATCTGCTCTAGCAGAAGCAAGAAAGCGAGAGGAGAATTTGAAGAAGGCTTTAGGAGTTGAGAAGGAATGCATAGCAAGTGTAAGACCATTGGATGGGATTCTGTTTAACTTGAGTTTTTTTTTTTTTTTAAATTATTATTTTCTTTTCCTCTTTTTGTTTTGTTTTATTTTCTCATGATTTTATATTACGTTCCTGTAGCTTGAGAAAGCCTTGCATGAGATGCGTGCAGAATCTGCTGAAACAAAGGTTGCAGCTGAGAGCAAATTGGCTGAGGCACATAATATGATGGAAGATGCTCAGAAGAAGTTTGTAGATGCTGAAGTGAAGCTGCGTTCCGCAGAATCTTTACAAGCAGAAGCTAGTCGATTTCACCGCAGTGCAGAGAGAAAGCTGCAGGAAGTTGAAACACGTGAAGAGGATCTTGGCAGGCGTATCATGTCCTTTAAGGCTGAGTATGTTCAAGTACATCCTATTTGAATTCATTGAAAAATCATTTCTTTTTCCAATGTTTCATTCATATGACTTGCATGGTGATCTGTTGTTCTTGGATTCATTTTTTTGAAAAGAATTGTTAATTGTGGTTCTCTTTTGTTTGTCATAGATTTCTCTCTATGTTAATTTTCTACATGTCTTCATTACAAAAGAATGGCAATGTGATTTCATTAGGATCTTGCAGTAATATTATGAATTCTAGGATAAAAATTTCATTATCAATGAACAGTAGCATCATAGTATTACATATTGCTAACAGTGATTGGTTAAAGCAGAATGGGCCTGATGATAATGCTTGTAAAAATATGCTTATCTTCTTTGCTGCATTTTTGCAATAATATCGTAAGTTCATAACTCATATAATATGACAGAAATTTAGTACTTTTGATTTTTCTTGAATTGTTCTTTTAATGAATTAACTTGACAGTAAAAGGATTGCTTTGAAGAGTGTTAATTTTATTATTTATTGCCTTAGATGTGATGCAAAAGAAAAGGAGATTATTCTTGAGAGGCAGTCATTGAGTGAGAGGCAGAAGATTTTGCAGCAGGAACATGAAAGGCTGCTTGATGGACAAGCTTTGCTGAATCAGAGGGAGGAGTATATTTCTAGTCGATCTGAAGAAGTAAATCGGCTTGAAAAGGAGCTAGAGGTTTCGAAAGAAACTATTGAAAAAGAACAGAGAGTGACGAGAGATGAGAAGTCTAGACTTGATTCTGCTTCTGCTTCATTGTTGAAAAGAGAGGAGGTTTGTATATTTTTGTTTTTGTGATTAAAGTCTTGGTGTAAATGTATTGGCATGTATCTTGTTGCTTTTACTGCATGCACTACATATTGTTAAGCAATTCCTCTATTTAATTCATACAGAATATTGCGGAAAGAGAAGCTTTGCTGGACAAGAAAGAGCAAGAGCTACTTGCTTCACAAGAAAAGCTTTCTAAAATGGAATCTGTGAGTTATTTTGACTTTGCAGCGTTTGTAAATTTTGAAATGCCTTTTCCCCCTCTATTGTAATTGTAAACCTTTTTTATGTAGGATGATATCCAAAAGGTAATTGCTGCTCAAGAAACTGCATTAAGAACTAGAAAATCAGAGTTTGAAGCTGAGCTTGAGATCAAACATAAAATGATGGAAGATGAAATTGAAACCAAGAGACGAGTTTGGGAGTTGAGGGAAATTGATCTTAGCCAGCGGGAGGATGTTCTTCGTGAGAAGGCCCATGAGTTGGAGGTTCAGTCGAGGATATTAGCAAATACAGAGAAGGATGTGGTGGAGAGGTCTAATCTTCTTGATGATAAAGAGAAAAGTTTGTGTAGCTCTGAGAAGGAGATTGAATTGAAGGTAGCCCATATAGAAAGAGAAAAAGAAGAGATAAATAGAATGAAACTTGAGCTTCAAAAATTATTGTCTTCTTTGGAAGACAGAAGGAGCAAAGTTGACTGTGAACAGGAGAAACTAGAAGCCATGAGAAGTGAGACAAACGAATTATCAGTTCTAGAACTGAAACTCAAAGAAGAACTTGACCTTGTAAGGGCTCAGAAATTGGAACTTATAGCTGAGGCAGACAGGCTGAAAATGGAGAAAGCAAAATTCGAAGCTGAGTGGGAGTTGATTGACGAAAAAAGAGAAGAGCTGCAGATGGAAGCAGAACGTGTTGCTAAAGAGAGAGAATCTGTTTCCAAGTTTGTCAAGGATGAGCAAGATAGCTTGAGAAGAGAGCGGGATGCCATGCGAGAGCAATACAATCATGATGTTGAGTCACTGAATCGTGAACGTGAAGACTTCATGAACAAGATGGCTCATGAGCATTCTGAATGTTTTAGCAAGATTCAGAAAGAGCGTGCAGACTTTTTGATGGAAATTGAGATACAAAAGAAAGAGCTTGAGAATTGTATTGAGAAGAAGCGTGATGAATTAGAGAGTTCTT